TAGTACTTAAAATTTACAAATTGAAGAAAAGAAAAATATCTTAAGACAAATTTTACCTAATATTTTCTGAGAAAGCTTTGTTAGTGACTGCAATTATTAATAATTGACATATTTTTACTTAAAACATTGGTTATTCTCTTTGTGAAAATGGACTTCAAAAGGATAACTTAATGCAATAATAGAAGGTTTAGTTCTTAATATATAAAAGTTCAAATAAAAATGTGATGTAATTAAATTGCTACAGTGAAAATGGAATAATAGGAAATATGAGAATATGGTACGTATCTTACAAATCTACAGGTTTATGTACATGCTTGATTTTTTCTTGGCAATTAGGGAAGGTAATCTTTTTAAAATTGATTAAAATTTATTTTTTAGAGCAGTTTTAGGTTCACAGCAATTTTGAGAGGAAGGTGCAGAGAGTTCTGTATCTCCTCTGCCCCCACAGATGCACAGCTTCCCCCACTGTCAACATCCCACTCCCGACTGGTACATTTGCTACAGTGGATGAACCTACACTGACACATCATCATTGCTCAAAGTCCATAGTTTACATTAGGGTTCACTCCTGGTGTGATACATTCTGTAGGGCTTGACAAATATATAATGGCATGCAGCCATCATTATGGTTTCATTCACACCAGTTTCACTGCCTAAAAATCCTCTGAGCTCCCACTATTCATCCTTCTTTCTTTCCTAACTCCGGGCAATCACTAATATTTTTACTGTCTATACAGTTTTTCCTTTTCCAGAATGTCATGTAGTTGGAATCATATAGTATGTAGCTTCTCAGATTGGCTTCTTTCACGTAGTAATATGCATCTAAGTTTCCTTCATGTCTTTTCACGGCTTGGTAACTTATTTATTTTTAGAGCTGAATAATATCCCATTGTCTTGTACCACAATTTATCTGTTCACCTAATAAAATCTTGTTGCTTTTGGCAAGTTTTGGGAATTATGAATAAAGCTTCAGTAAACATCTGTGTGCGGGTTTTTGTGCGGACAATAAATTTTTAGTTCATTTGGGTAAATATCATGGAATGTTGTTGCTGGAATGTATGGTAAAAGTATGTTTAGTTTTGTAAGAAACCACCAAACTGTCTTTCAGAGTGGCTGTATTTTGCATTCCCACCAGCAATGAATGTTTCTGTTACTTTGCATTCTACACACTCACTGGCATTTGGTGTTGTCATTGTTTGGGATTTTGGCCATTTTAATAGGGGTATCTTATTGTTGTTTTAGTTTGTAGTTCTCTAGTGGTGTGGTGTGGAGCATCTTTTCATACTTGGCTGTGTATATCTTCTTTGGTGAGCTATCTGCTTAGGTCTTTTGCCCATTTTTAAAATTGGGTTGTTTGTTTTCTTATTACTGAGTTTTAAGAGTTTTTTGTGTATTTTAGATAACAGTCCTTTATCAGGTGTGTCTCTTCTAAATATTTTCTTACAGTGTCTTTGCAGAGCAGAAATTTTAAATTTGAATTTAAATTTTAATGAAGTTTAGTTTATCATTTTTTTTTCTTTCATGGGATTGTGCCTTTGGTGTCAGAACTGAAACATCATCACCCCAAACTCAAGGTCATCTAGATCTTATATGCTAACTTCTGGGAGTTTTATAGTTTGCCTACAGTGCTCATCTGTTCATGAACGTTACATTAGAACCTTTAGCACATTAATCATAGTTGTTTTAAATTCCTGGTCTGATAATTCTGATATTGCTGCCATGTCTGATCCGATGCCTGTTCTGTCTTTTCACATTGTGTTTTTTGCCCTTTGGTATGCCTTGTAATTTTTTTCCAGATAGCCAGATATGATTTACAGGTAAAAGAGACTGCAGTTAGTAGGCCTTTAGTAATGTAGTGGTAGGGTGTGGAAGGAGCAGAAGCGTTCTGTAACTAACTGATTAAGTCTCAGTCTTTTAGTGAGCTTGTGCTTCTTGCTGTGAGCTTCACTAGTGCTTCTCAGTGTTTTCCCCCCTCTCGGGTACAGGATGGTACAGGAGGGCCCACTGGATTAGTCTATTTCTTCCCGTGTCCATGGAAGACCAGGGCAGGCTAGGGCTGGGTATTTCCCTTTTACAGGTCAGGTGAGCTCTGATAAAACCTCAGCAGCTTAGGCTCTGTTAAATAGTGTTTCCAGGACTTGTTAAGAAGAATGGAATATTCTGGCATGGTTTTTGTCTTCCCCTGCTGGAAGCAAAAGAAGGTTTTTCTTTGATGTTCACTGTGAAGACCTTGTAGAGCTCCTGGAGGTAAAACAAAAGTGTGGGAGTGCCCCCTGTGACTGGGTCCTTCTGGGAATTTTAACTCTCAGAGTTGTCCACACTGAGCTTCTAGCAATTAATCAGCTCTGGTTCAGGGTCTCTTCCCCAGACACTGGCTCCTGCAGAAGTTTCAAGTTTGGTATATTACGATTCTCCACATACTTCTATCTGTCTCTCCAGTCTCGCAGGCAATGATTTGCTCTGTGACCTCGCTTCTCTGATAGATCTAAGAAGAGTTGTTGACTTTTCATTTTGTGTTGCTTCTTACTTTTTGGTAGGATGGAGTGGTAACTTCTGAATTCCTGACATGCTGGATCAGAAACCAGAAGGCTCTAATAATCATCTGATGACATAATTTCTTACAGATTGATTTTTCAAATTCTTACACATTTCAAAAACCATATTGAATGTTTTACGACTTAATTTTTCAAAAAGCCAAAAATAAAGAAAATATAAATGATTGCTCTAATTACTTGTGATTTATACATAGTCTCTCTGCTATTTATAACTTAGGTAAAATAGCATAGCCTACAAAAGCTTTCCTGTATTATTGTCTAAAAAAACATTAGAATCTGTCAGGTTTTGAATCATTATTAAATACTAAAGGATAAATTTTCTGTTAATCTTTCAGCAATGCCTGTTGCTTTCCACTCTTGAGCAAAAGGAAAACCAACATTACTTTATGTAATAGTTTCATATGTAAAATAAAATCTGAGAATAAGATGTTGCTCTGAACATGACATTTTGTAACTTGTTATTAAAGCCTAAAACCAAATAGATAAATAGAACTAGAAGGTTAATAGTTTGTCATTCTGCCAGTGCAGGAAACCCAGCGTTCTTTCATCTAAAATTTCCTTAGTTGTTTGGAAAGCATTAGCAGGAATGCTGTACTTGAGAATAGTTTAGACTTACTTTGTATGTAATGCTTCTTCAAGACATTTTTTGGTTATATTTCCTTAAAAAGATAGTCCTAAAATAAAATTTACTTTCCTAGGAGATTTCCGTAGACTATAATTATAAAACTAGATTTATTCTGGGTGAGACCTAGTAAAGACCTACTTCAAATCATCACATGATTGTAAATAATTGGAATGTCAAGATAACATACCTAATTTGATATTTTCCATTATTTCCTATTGATTTTGTAGCAACCCTGTACACTTTTGAAGACAGTTAGAATAACCCACTCAACAATACTGTGGGGAAGCTACAATCATATATGTAAGAGAACTGTTTCAAAGCACGAAGGCTAGCTAATAAGGGGTATGGTAATATATGAAATGTTCAGTTGTCTAAGGATCTTTTAATGCTGCTGAAAAAATATAAATTCCAAAAGGAAGTATGTTCATGTCAATGAATTATTTGTCTATGGAAATAACATTAGTCAGTTGTATTCAATGATTCAGAGTGTTCTTCCTTTTTAATTATTATTAAGGAAATATAGGAGACAGTACTCATTTTCCACCTTCTTATATCCAATCTCTGAAATACTCAGCATGCAAAAAATTCTTCATAACAAGTCTTATTGTAATTGATGAATTCTTTAATCCGATGCTCTATTATGCCTGCACAGTTCACTATACTGAGTTCTTGATGTTCACTGAGATTATGCCGTTCTTGTTGGCAGCAATTTGAGGAACATTTCTGTTTCCAGTAATATTGAAACACTAAGTGACAATTAAGTTATTACCACCATAACAATGAAATTTGGTCTGCCAGAAATTACAGTTTCTTCCCCTCTAGGTTTTTACTAGCACCATCTCATTATTGTGCATCCCAACAAGCTAGATCATTCTTGATGTCTCATACCACTGTCACTACCTTCTATGGATAAACAATTTCCAAGACAAAGAGTGCCTTTTCTAGCAAAATATCAGTAAAAGTAATTAAAGAAAATCTCAGTCCAGTATAGGATACTCTGCGAATTAAAAGTTTAAAACATCACATAGCAACTATAGTGAATATAATGCAAACTATAATATGTTCACCCTTGAAAAAGCCATCACAGTATTTATAGGCTTTGTTGAAGCTCATAGATTGTACATCAATTAAACAAAACATTGAGCTTCAGCCTGTGAGTCTTGGAGGGATATTCTGCAGCCCTGAAAGTCAGACAGAGCCTTTGCTGGTTGCCTGGCTGACATCGCTATCTGGTGCCCAGGTTCCCATTCAGTTTGGCTCTTTGGTGAGATTGACTCATCACATGATAGCCAAATGCTCATATCCTGGACCCTTGGGAAGAGCATTGTCAGTGAAAGGCAGCATGCATGGGGCTCAGCTGTCTCAGAATGGGCAGGCAGCAATTACACTGGACATCCACAGGCAGGGGCAGAGTTTTTCTTTACAGGCCCTCACTAGGCACAAGAACAGCTAACATGGCTCTACATCATGGACAAGGGTAAATGTGATCTGTAGGCCCCAGATCAGCTTCCAAAAGGTCCTAAAAACAGGTAAAGTTCTCAGGAACCTTTAAGTGCTGACTTCATTTTTCTCCATGTCATGGTTACCACACCTTTTTTCACCTTTAAGTCAGTCCATTTATCTCCTCTTTGCTCATGATATATGTTTTATTTCCTTTAAGTAATTGCTGTCTGTTAGATATTATTACAAAAACTGTTTACATTAACTACAGACAACTTTTTACAGTCTTTTTTTCAGATCGTATTTATTTTTCCATTAGCTTAGAATTCCATTTAAATTTAAAGTCATATAACATATTTGTTAATGTTCCTGTAATGCAGCTCAAAATTGTTCTGGACTGAGAACCTGTGGACATTGTTTGGAACAACCTGGATGTGGCTGGTGCAATGATCCTAGTAATACGGGAAGAGGACACTGCATTGAAGGATCTTCACGGGGACCAATGAAGCTTGTTGGGATGCACAATAATGAGATGGTTCTTGATGCCAGTCTTTGTCCTAAAGAAAAGAACTATGAATGGTCCTTTATCCAGTGTCCAGGTAATAAAAACATGATGAAAATAATTTCAGTTTGAAAACCGAGAATGAGTTGTTCTTTCTTATAATAAATATTTAGAAAAAAATAATGAGATTAAAATTTCACAGATGAAAAAATATTCTTCCCTATATCCATCTCTATTATGCAGATGGCATTCTGTTTGGAATCATTAAATATAGGCTAACCATATGCATGGTATACAATTATTATATTTGGCTTCTTATGAATTGCTAAGAGGAAAAATACTGGGTTCATGCCAATTTTCTACCTTGTACTATAGTCTTTCATTGTTCATAGTATTATAATACCTTAGAATTCAAGGCAATTCAGAAGATCCAGTCAAACTTCATGCTAAGTGTGGGAATGTTTTAAATGATATTTGTGATGGAATCAGCGGGCCTCATTTTGAATACCATTAAATTTTGAAGGTCAATAGTTTTTAGGGTTTTTTTTTTTTTTTCATAGGCAGTCTGTTCTTATACTGAATAAAACCAATCTCCTGGAAAAATTAACTTATTCAATATATTTTTATTGAGTGCCTACTATGTGCCAAAGAGTGTTTCAAGTGTTAGAGACACAACAATTAACAAATTAGACTAAAATCACTGCATTCATGAAGCCTGTATTCTAACTGAAATTAACAAAATTAATTATATACACATACATATATGAAGTTACATGTTGTTGAATAAAGTGCTGTTAAATAAAGTAAGGAAGGGGGATAAGGCTTGCAATTTAAAAAGGGTAGTGAGAGAAGAGTTCACTGAGAAGTAGCAATAAACAATTTATGTAGATGAGGGAGTGAGTCATAGGGATATCTGGGGGAAGTATTCTAGAACAGAAAACAGTCTGACACAAGGACTTGGGTAAAAGAGTTTATTTTTTTAATCTTTTAATTTTTTTTGAAGATTTTATTTATTTATTTGAGAGAGAAAGAGATTGAGAGAGAGAGAGCCCAAGAAGGGGGGAGGGTCAGAGGGAGAAGCAGACCCTCTGCTGAGCAGGGAGCCTGATGTGGGACTCGATCCCGGGACTCCGGGATCATGACCTGGAAAGAGTTTATTTGGGAGGCGAACCCAGGAGGCACAACTGAAGGAACAGAGAGTTTCAAAGAAGGGAGAAAAACCAATAATATTATTAAGCTCGCTACTGTACTTGGAAATTTGGACTCACACCCACTAGGGACCTATGAAGAACCATGTAAAATGCTTTTCAGAATTGACCCCCTGAGGGACTGGGAGGGTGGGGCACTTATCTGTAGGTTCTCTTTGGTTGAGTGATACCTTTGCAGGTATTGTACTTCTGAGCTGTGCCAGCATGTATGATCAATAGCTTGCCCTGGCACTAGCGAAAATTCTGGGGCTGAAAAGTAGAGACACTGCAGAACTTGCTTTAGGTGAGTCACCGAGAGTGTGCCGTCCTGAAACTGGATGGATCGTGGGAATGTGGCACAGAGTGCAATGATACCTGCTACATAAACTCTGAAATATATGAAAAGTGAAAATGAACAAACTATGGGTTTGTACAACAACATGATTGAATCTTAAATTTTTTCGCTTAGTGAAAGAAACCAGACCCAAAGGCTACATGTTGTATTATTCAGTTTATAAAATGATCTAGAACAGGCAGAGCTGTGGGGATGGAAAACAGATCAGTTATTTGCCAGGAGTAACAAAGGTAGGGATTGATCTCAAGGGAGCCTCACAACGGAATGTTTTGTGTTATGGAACTGTTCTTTATGATACTGTGTTAGGTTGATACATAACTCCATGCATTTGTCAAAACCCATATTGTATATCACAAAGAACCAACTTGCCTGAATGCAAATTAAAAAGAAAAGGCAACTAGAATACCAGGGGATCCCAGGGTGTAAAGTAAGCTGTGACAAGTAAATTTAACTATATTACAAATGCCATAATGTCATAAAAAATAAAAAAAGAAGAGCTGATCTAAGTAGCATTGGAAAACAGTTTGGATACTGTAAAGCTAAGAAAAAAAACTGTATACAAGATTGTATTCTGGTTAGTAAATTTGTTTATCACGTGGTGTAAGTTAACATTTCTAACAATACTTTATGTGTTTACTAGGTTTGGACAAATAAATTGTGTTTAATTTAAGCCAGGTTTTCCACTGTCAGAGAAAGATGCTAAAAATAAGCAAGGACTGAAGACTACAAAGAATCCTGTGGTGTTGGGTTAGGGTCTGAGATAATAGTGTGAATTCATGTTTATTTTAATATATATACCAAGAAGTAAATATAGATATGTGTGTATACATAGGTTAGTACATATACATGAATTTCCTAGTTCTGTTTGTCAAGAGGGTCTAGAAGCCATGACATCCCAGTAGGAATGAGCACATCTAGTGCCTGCATCTTGGTTTCTAAATACTGTTTTCCAGTGAAAGGAACCAGGGTGCCATGGAGAAATGGTTAATTTTAGCGCTGGGACAGGGAGAAAACACAATGAGCCTGGAGCATTGTTTGTTGTAAGAAGGAACTTTTAAAAAAAAGAGGATGGGATCATGATCATGCCAAAGGGACACAGCACCAACCTAAAAGAGTTCTCAATGGATAAAATATGAGCAAAAGATAATGATCATATTGCATTATGACTCAAAACCCTAAATAATATCCTGATTCTATACTGATTAAATGATTTAATAAATAATAAATGGGTGAGAATGAACAAAAATTCCTTACAGAAAAATTCTAAATAATAAATGTAGAATGAATGAGGGAAATAAAAAAAAAATCACTCTTAGAACCCGACCGTAACAATTGCTATAAGAATAATCCACTTAATATTGAAATTGGGGAATGAAACTTTAAGGAAAAGCAGGGTACTTGTGTAGCTTTAAAGCTTCTGGTCAGTAATCATTTCTTTTCTTTTTTTCAATGTTCCAAGTTTTTATTTAAATTCTAGTTAGCTAACATACATTGTAATACTTGTTTTGGGAACAGAATTTAGTGATTCATCATCAACACACAGCACCCAGTGCTCATCACAAGTGCCCTCCTTTATACCAATCACCCATTTAGCCCATTCCCCTGCCCACTTCCCTTCCAGCAACCCTCAGCTTGTTCTCTATAGTTAAGAGTTTCTTTTATGGTTTGCCTCCTTCTCTCTTTTTTTCCCTTCCCATATGTTTATCTGTTTTGTTTCTTAAATTCCACGTATGACTGAAGTCATATGGTATTTGTCTTTCTCTGACAGGCTTATTTCCCTTAGCTTAATACACTCTAGCTCCATCCATGTTGTTGCAAATGGCAAGATTTCATTCTTTTTGATGGCTGAGTAATATTCCTGTGTGTGTGTGTGTGTGTGTGTGTGTGTGTACCACATCTTCTTTAGCCATTCATCAGTTGATGGACATTTGGGCTCTTTCCACAATTTGGCTATTGCTGATAATGCTACTATAAACAACAGAGTGCATGTGCCCCTTCGAATCAGTATTTTTGTATCCTTTGGATAAATACCTAGTAGTGCAATTACTAGGTCATAGGGTAGCTCTATTTTAACTTTTTGAGGAACCTCCATACTGTTTTCCAGAGTGGTTGTATCAGTTTACATTCCCACCAACAGTGTAAGAGGGTTCCCCTTTCTCCTCATCCTCGCCAAAATCTGTTGTTTCCTGTTTTGTTAATTTTGGCCATTCTGACTGGTATGAAGTGGTATCTCATTGTAGTTTTAATTGGTATTTCCCTGATGCTGAGTGATATTGAGCATCTTTTCATATGTCTTCTTTGGAAAAATACCTATTCATGTCTTCTGCCCATTTCTTAACTGGTTTATTTGTTTTTTGGGTTTTGAATTTGATAAGTTCTTTATGAATTTTGGATACTAACACTTTATCAGATGTCATTTGCAAATATCTTTCTCCATTCCAAAGGTTGCCTTTTAGTTTTGTTGATTGTTTTTTTTTGCTGTGCAGAAGCTTTTTATCTTGAAGTCCCAATAGTTCATTTTGCTTTTGTTTCCCTTTCTTGTGGAGACGTGTCTAGTGTGAAGTTGCTATGGCTGATGTCAAATAGATTACTGCCTGTGTTCTCCTCTATGGTTCTGATGGTTTCCTGTCTCACATTTAGGTCTTTCATCCATTTTGAATTTATTTTTGTGTATGCCAAGAGAAAGTGGTCTAGTTTTATTCTTCTGCATGTTGCTGTCTAGTTTTCCCAAAACCATTTGTTGAAGAGGCTGTCTCTTTTCTATTGTATATTCTTCCCAGCTTTGTTGAAGATTAGTTGACCATATAGTTGTGGGTCCATTTCTAGGTTTTCTATTCTGTTCCATTGATCTAAGTGTCTGTTTCTGTGCCAGTACCATACTGTCTTGATCACTATAGCTTTGTAATGTACCTTGAAGTCTGGAACTGTGATGCCTCCAGCTTTGGTTTTCTTTTTCAAGATTGCTTGGGCTATTTGGGGTCTTTTGTAATTCCATACAAATTTTAGTATTGTTCGTTGTAGCTCTGTGAAAAATGCTATTGGTATTTTGATAGAGATTGCATTAAATGTGTAGATTGCTTTGGGAAGTATAGACATTTTAATAATATTTGTTCTGCACCATCTTTCTGTACATTCATTTGGTATCCTGTAATTTTATTGAATTCATGTATCAGTTCTAGCAAATTTTTTTGGTGGGGTCTTTTGGGTTTTCTAAATAGGGTATCATCTTGTCTGTGAATAGTGTGAGTTTGACTTCCTTGCCAATCTGGATGCCTTTTACTTCTTTGTTGTCTGATTGCTGAGGCTAAGACTTCCAGTACTGTGTTAAATAACAATGGTGAGAGTGGAAGTCCCCTGTCTTGTTCCTGACTGTAGAGGAAAAGCTCTCAGTTGTTCCCCATTGAGAACGATATTAGCTGTGGGTCTTTTGTATATGGCCTTTGTGATGTGGACTTCTCTCTTCTGTTTTATCTTGGTGAGCACTTGCTAACCACAAACTCTTACAGTGGGATGGGAGCATATGAGATTGCTTCCATGGTTTCTTTTTTTCTTCTT